GTAGGTGGGTGGGGGCACATTTTAGATCTAATGGTTCTGATTCTAGGCTTGTTTATAGCCACTTTCTCTCTCTCTTTAATTTTATTTCTTCAGGATCTTCTATCAATTAAAAATAGAAACTCATAGCCTTTGGATTGCTTCTCGGAGTCTGTACTGGACAGCAGAAAAACATTAAATCTGTTATTTTCTTGATGGTTGGAACAGTTTTGCAAATATAGTTTTCAAAAGCAATGATGATATTGACCCAATGCCAGTACCATGGTTTCTAGAAGGGCCTCAGTAATGAAGATGCTTAGCTATAAAATCATTTAAAGGGGAGAGAAATCCAAGGTGGAACAAAACAATGCACACTTGTCTTTCTTTTAGAAAATGTAAATATTTATCAAAATTAAGAAAAGAGAACATTACATCTGTGCCAAACACAACAGATAATTGTTTTCTATTCAAATATAAGCCCTTCTCTTTAACTAGGTAGTACAGCAGTTACTCCCATCTTATAATGAATGCATAGCTACACCCAACAGTATTGGGTGGACAAAATATCAACAGCTCTTGGCTTCCTGTTATTTATTAGATGTTTTTTCAGTTTTGTGTCATTGTTATAGTTGTATGTTTTTAATGTAGGGTTTGAAGAAGTTATTAGGTTTACTCATGGCCCCAGTCATCTACTCCATGCATGGGTGCCTGGTGCCCCCTGGCTCAAGGGGAGGGGTTTCTCAGCGGCTGATCACTGACCCTGGAAGTGCCACCAGCAAAACTGGAAGTGCTGCTGGTGCTTCTTGGGAGGGGGGGACGACACCAGTTGGCACTCCCCACTTCTTGGCCAGTGAGAGCCAATGTTTTTTTTGGGGGGGGGGCACATGCCCCCCTGTACCCCTCCCACATGTTGCCTATGACCCCACATTCCTGTGGAGCAAGGCAAACCCTAGACATCTTGTGCTCAGGCACAAGAGCTAGTTTTCTGTCTCTGCAGTTGCTGAACATCTTAGAATCCAAACTTCCCTATATACTGCTGGTGAGATGATTCAGTTTTGATTTCATACACCTACCTGGATGGGCAAGAAGATAATTTGGTCTTTGACTACACCTTCTTTGGCCTTTCCGTTCACAGTGGCAACAACATTGCCATCATGGTACTCATTGTGATGTGAACTTTTGTCTACCATCAAGTGTATCAGCACTTCTGTCTCAATTAATCAGATCAAAATACTGGTTTCTTTTGAACTGGATAGGATTTGTGTCACTCTTTTATGTGGTTTTGTCCCTAAGCAAACCAGGTACTTATCAGTCTTTTAATTTTGAAATATTTTTGGGTGATTATAGCAGAGAGCTCTCTGTTCCTTCGAGATAAAAGCAGCCCAGCCAGGGAGCACTGCAGGCTAGGCAGGGTGCAGCAGCTGCAGGTTGCTGGGGCAACAGGCCAATGAGGCAATTAGTAGGCACCTCTAGGCAGCCAGCTGATGGGGAAGTTGGCAGGGCCCTGGGAGCATATAAACCTAAGGCTTGGGCTGGCAAAGTAGTCTCTTCCTGGCAACTGCAGGGGAAGGATCTCTTGCCTAGGAAAGCTGCCTGGGGATGCTAGGCTTGGGAGCTCACAAGGAGCCTGGGCTGGGAGGTACGCTGTATTAGTGAGGGAAAGTTTTCCATCTTAGTGGTAGGCCTATTTCTACTTCATTATGTTATAGCCTTGGGGGCTTATATTTCTGTGTTTACACTGGTGGTACTGTAAGGGGCAGTTTTCGGAGGTCCTACTAGTGCCTGAGGGGCATATGATTGTCTTGAGTCCTGCCAGGGAAGGCTCAAGGCTTGAGTGACTCTTGAGCCCAGAGTGGGCAGAGAGTGCAAGGCCACAGTGCCAAACTAGGACCAGGGTCCCAGCACCTGGATGGGCAAATCAGAGCTGGTACCTCAAAGCCAGGCCCAATACAGTGGGCCCAGGCTAGCAGGCCTAGCTTGAGTAAAAGGGTGGAGGCTGGAGAGACTGAAGCCCCAACAGTGATGATGGTAACACCTGAAAAGCTTGGGATAATGGCGTAGGGGAGACTTGGAGCCCTGCAATTAGCTTTTAAAGCTTGAGGTGCCCTGCATCAGCACAATTATAGAGTGAGGCCCAGCAAGGGGCATGAGGACCCTAGTGGGATTCAGTTACACTGGGACTTGTGCAAAGGACCTTGGACAGCCTCCCTATTTTTCTTTATTCCATCAAGGCATGGCAGATGAGAAGGAAAGGTGCATTAGGGCCAGGGTGGGGCATGGTCACAGAGCCATCAGGAGGCATCATGGCCACCACTAGGACACTGATGTGCTACAGTGAGTTCTGATTAATGTCTCTTTGCATCAATCAGAGAACAGTATTTTCCCTTAAGCAAGGAAAACTAAAGGCAAGCAAAACATTTCCAATTCTTGTGGTTAACAAACTAAAACAGAATGTGATATGTGAGAAGAACAGATGAAAGTGATTAAGAGGAAGACTTAACAGATCTTAACAGAAGACTTAACAGATCAAATTTCAAACCACAATGGTTTGAAATTTGCTCTGTTTTGTCAGAGCTGGCTGGGAGATGCAGAACACAGGAATTGTCACATGAATCATGCTGATACACCACCAGTGTGCTGAGAGAACCTCATACTGGACATAAATGAAATAGCTAGGCCACTGGGGGATTCTCTTCTAACCCCTTTATTAGAAGTTGGCCTAAGTTCTGAAGCATGAAAACTCTTATTCCCTGATCTAATGTAACTCATTATCCATATAAGTGTCCAGTCCTCCCCTCCACCCCCATTCAAGCTTCTGCTGCACTGTCTATGCCTTGTAAGTGTTTGTTTCAATAATAAACAAATGGAACCAGGTTACTGAGTGGTATGAATGTGAGCAAGAAGGGTGACAGTGTCATGAAATAAGCTTTCTTGCTGTAGCTACGTGCTATTAAATAGCACGTTTTACTGACCACTGACAGCTGTGCACAAAGCTTCTTAGATTTGGTATGTCAGCAGCTGAGAAGCTTGGCTATCAGTCACTACAGGAGGCTTAACTAAAATAAGCCTTCACTTTGAGGTCTTTATCTTAAGCAAAACAGTTGCCAGCAAGTTTCTTTACCAGCCCCCCACCTGCCCCCCCCCCCCCCAAACAAGCAAACAAAAAACCCTACCTATAACTTACTGGCACTTCATTTGAACTTTTTAAATCTGAAAACTTCCTAAAGTATATTAAAAGCTATGCAGTTGTTTCTCCTGTCCCTAAAGGGCAACCAACTTTGAGTGAAATGTGGCAGCTGAAGAGTACAGAGCCAGACTGCACTTTAGTTAGATGGGAGAAAGAATACCCCATACAGTTGTAACCCAGGGTAGAATTTAAAATAGGTGGAATGTAATAGTATCACCTAATAGTTTAGAAGAACCAGAAGTCTGTTACAGGCATGAAAAGGCTGATTCTGAATGTAGGGGGGGGAAGACATTTTTAATAAAAGAAACTTTAAATGATTTGCCAGCTTCCCTTGATGGGATATTTTTGAACTGGCAATTGCTGGTTTGTCACAATTCATACTTTCTGTGGAAATCCTTTGGTTTCATTGAAAAACCTTGCTTACAAAATTTCCAAAGTCAGAATGGATATTTGGGGCATAAGATGGTCCAGCATAACCACTGTCTCCATAATTAGTCTATTCAGGACATGCGGATGCCCAGAATTAAGGTTTTATTTGATTGCCTGCCTGATGGTTTTTTTTTTTGTTTTTTTTTTTTTTTTTTGGGAAGCAAAATCTGGAGCATTGGTTAAGTTTTCTTGGTTCTTTTGTTTTGTGGCAAATTTTGAAAGCTCCGATGTTCATTCTGATGGACAATTAAACATTTTGAAACCTCATCTTTTTGCAAAGTGGAATTCTTATTTTCTAGCCAGCCCTTTATAAAAAAAAAAAATGGAGTTGATAAAATTTGAAAGTTTCCTCAATTCTTCCTCTATTATAATTTTTAATTTTAACAATCAACTGTTTTTTTTTTTTTTTCTTTCTCTTTCTTTTTGGGGGGAGTGGGGGGCAGGTTTCTTTGAGTTTGGGAGCCCAAAGGGCTCCAATACTGTAAGCGAAGCTGTTTCTTTTTTTCAGTCACCTGGAAGTATTGGGAGTCTCATGAAAGGATCTGTTCTCCAGAGATTTCCAGTCCTGTACATAAGCAGTTGAAAGTTCAAATATTTATGCTGTCTGCACCCTCAGGCTTTTGAAGTTCACCTGTGATAAACTGAAAGCTGCTCTGACTTCACCATAAGTCCCACTTTTTTTTGTAGTGCTAGTGAATTTTTGGAGTTGTCAAATCCTATTCTGTGCTGTGTTATGCACTACTTCTTTCCCCTAGTGTGTCATTTGAATCTACTTCCCCTTCTTCAAGTTTATATGTAATAAACATGTGAATGATTATTTTACAGAATCTCTCCTCTTCTCTTCACCTAACTTGGTGGTATCTGATTCGATGGGGGTAACAATAGATTGATAGTCTTGGGAATTTTATGGGACACTCAGAAAGGGGAAAAATGGAGCAGTCCTGGAAAGACTCCTGTGAAATTTGAAAATTGTTTTAGAAACATAT